TGTGTGTGTGTGTGTGTGTGTGTGTGTGTGTGTGTGTGTGTGTGTGTGCCTGCCTGCCTGCCTGTCTGTGTGTGTGTGTGCCTGTGCCTGTGCCTGTGCCTGTGTAAACACACACGCACACAGACACAGGCAAGGAAGAGAGTCTGGGCACATACAAGTAATAGGTTTGGCTCAGCATAAAGGATAAGTTGCAGACATGTGCGTCAGAACTTTATAATCAGCAGGCAAGAATAAAAGAGAGAGGAAGAATGCACTCTCCATACATGAAATCGACAAGAGGACGAACCAGGGACTGAGAGAAAGCACATTACAGCTAGAAGAAGAACAACAACAAGAAGAAGAAGAAGAAGAAGAAGGAGAAGGAGAAGGAGAAGAAGAAGAAGAAGAAGAAAGAAGAAGAAAGAAGAAGAAAGAAGTAGAAGAAGAAGAAAGAAGAAAAAGGAGAAAGCAGGAGGAGGAGGAGGAGGAGGTAAAAAGGATGATCCCCGTACCCCTTTGTCCGTGCGGCTACTTCGATTCCATCCTAGTTTATACATGTTTCCATAATTAGACTCTAGCATACCTCCCATCGCAAGGATTGCTTTCTCCAGCACTCCTTCCACAGCTAATTAGTTGAGCAAACATCGTCCACAGTTTCCAATCCCCACTGGTTCAGCAAATCAGCAAATCGCAATCGTCATCCATACATTCCATATCATCAGAATCCCATTAAAAAAAACGTTTAGAAATATGTCTTTTGACCCAGGCTGCCAGAGTGACCCTGGCGCATTTGCCCGGCCAAGCCGAGCCAAAAAAAAGGAAATGCAATCAGACTCGACTCTGGACTTGCTTACAACATGCACACTTGAGAACTGATGGCAAAACCGAACTCTTTCAACTCAGAATCAACAACGAACTTGCACTTAAACTCTGTTCAATACCACTGTACAAGTCGCGGCTATGGCCGCTGAACACTGTCTCAACCACCAGCCTCACTTTCCCTCATGCACGCACGTACGAGGATCACCCTGAATGTCCACGCTACACAGCCTCACACACTCTGTACACTCTGTATACACCAACAGCTGGGCGGCTATGGCCGCCGTCGTCATCCTCCTCCGAGCTATGGCCGCCGGTGTCTACCTCGCTGGTTCGCTATGGCCTCTGTCTTCTTCACAGCCCACTGCTTCTCCGGGCACCTGCAGTCCACGCACAAGATACCAAGGCAGCTCTTCCGCATGGCACACAGGCGAATGAATGAATGGCTGGACGCTGCCTGTTTATTTATACTTCTTCAGAGGTACCCGGGCCTGCCTCAAAACGTGTGGACCTGGGCCAAAACGTGTGGCCCAGGGAAGCTTCCAGACGTTTGGCCTTCTCGCCGAAACGTGTGGAACCCACAGCGTGGTCCAGAACCTTCCCCACGTGCAGCCCCTACCCCTGGTACTTGCTGACTGGACTGGCCTACAGGGACCTACGACCTTCTAGAGCCTACAGACTTACAGACAGACTCTAGGTCTCAGTAGACTCAGATAGAGACTTCTAGAACAGACCTCCCTAGGCCTAACGGTAACAGACCTAACTCCTAATCTACAGACCTAGGGATGGAGTCTCACACAGATCGCTGGGCCTATGTACAGGGTACAGGGTAGGTCTAGGGATCGAATCTCACTCAGCACACAGCGTCAATGTACAAGATACAGGGTAGGTCTAGGGATCGAATCCTGCTCAGCACACAGGGTTAGGGCACAGGTCTAGGGATCGAATCTCTGTGTCTGCAATGTCGGGTCAACTGGGTGAAAACGTTTCAGAAATTTATATATATACATATATATAGTCAAACAGAGCTGCCGGGTAATAGATAGATAGATAGATAGATAGATAGATAGATAGATAGATAGATAGATAGATAGATAGATATTGGCAAGGAATTAGGAATTTGACCCTGAGGCAAAAGTTGTTCGTCTTATTTTTCTGCAGAACATAGTTTTTAAAACTTTTTTACTTCTTTTTCATAGTTTTGAAAACTTTTTTACTTCTTTTTCATGTTGTTTGGAGTCATTTTCATTTTTTTTATTTTTTTTTTGCAGGGACCTTCCCCAGGCCCTGATCAACCATGGTGACCCAGGCGACCCGGGCTCGTAGCGCGGCTTTTTACTATTTTCCTTTCCTTGCCTTTTACTTGAGTTTTTCACAATCC